TGGTGGCCCCCGCAGGAACGATGAGGATCTGGTTGTAGCCTGAGGAAGCGGAGACACCACTCAAGCTAGACTGCCTGAGGGCACCATGCGCCCAGCTGCACAGACGGGGTCAGGGGAGGGCAAGCAGGAGGCCGCAGGGCTGGGCCGCCTGGGGATGAGTGTTCCCAAAGAGGAAACACCTTTGCAAAGGCCAGAGTGGGGCGGCGGGCTCGGGCACCCAGACTGACTGGAGAGGGCAGATGGGGAAGGAACGAGAGGGGGCTTGTAGGTGGCAGTAGTACAAGATCACACGGATGCGTGGGCAGAGGGTCCACGGGCTCCTGTGAAAGGGTTTGGCCTCACCCTGAGCCATGACCTTGGGCCTTTGAGGCATGACCTGAGCGCCAGGTCAGCCCCCTGTGCCATGACCCCTGCGAGCCAGAGCAGCAGGCGGGCAAGGAAGGCACAGGCAGCAGACCCAGTCCCAGTCCCAGCTGTCTGTGGCGCTCTGGAGGACCCCACCTCTGCTGAGGTCACTGACGTCAAAGGTGCCGGTGACCGGGTAGCAGGTCGTGCCGTCACCCCCACACTGCAGACACTTGTCCTCCTGCTTTGACGAATCGAGCTTGTGGTCACAGCCCACAGCCTGCCAGGCGGAGAAGGAGAGTCACCGGCACACCGGGACTCGAACCCTGGGTGCCCGGCCAGGTCAGGGAGGAGCAGTAACTACAGTAAAACAACACCGGTTGGAAGTGTGTGGGTCCACTTGTATGTGGGTCTTTTTCAATAAATATACTGAAATTTTGGGGGGATTTGCAACAGTCTGAAACACCCCCCAGATGGACCACGCAGCTTAGAACTATCAAGGGCTGAGAAGATTTGGATCTAGTCTGTGGCTGACCATCCACCTCTTTTGCCTGCTCAGCACCCATCTCCCTTCTCTGGCAGTAACACCTCATTTCCTTTGGGGACCATCTCTCCCACAGAGCTTGGACAGAGCTCCCCAACACTGGGTCTGGGCAAACCGGTGGGCTGTAAGCCTCGCTCAGAGAATGGTTGAGAGGAGCCCCAAGTTAAAACAAATCAGAGGCAACCCAGGTCACTGGAACGCCTGGGAATGGAACGACCTTTTTCCGGGGAGTCGCCGGGACAGCGGAAGCCTGGAGCTGCTGGGGGCCGTCCTCACAGCCCAGGGAAGGAGCCTGCCTAATCCTGAGGCGGAGCCGCCTGAGGGAAAGACCACAGGCAAGGAGAGAGGTTTCCGCAGGCAGCGGCGCGCGCACATGCCTGCAGCCAGCCAGCCGTCCCCTGTGGCTTTTTTTTTCTTTATTAAGATATTACAAATGTGTCCTAATCTCCCCATTGTCTCCCATCCCCCACTCACGCCCGCAGCCCCCATGTCTGTGTCCATTGCTTATGCTTATGTGCATGCATACAAGTCCTTTGGTTGATCTCTGCCCCTTAGCCGCACCCTCCCCTGCCTTCCCTCTGAGGTTTGAGCATCTGATCAATGCTTCTCTGTCTCTAGATCTATTTTTGTCTTTTAAAGTTCGCTTTAGCTGGGTTCTGTACCTTGCCATCCAGGGGTTGCTCTTACTGTGGGGCTAGAGTTTTCATAGGGCAGTGATGGCGAACCTATGACACGCGTGTCAGAGGTGACACACGAACTCATTTTTTTGGTTGATTTTTCTTTGTTAAATGGCATTTACATATATAAAATAAATATCAAAATTATAAGTCTCTGTTTTACTATGGTTGCAAATATCAAAAACTTTCTATATGTGGCACGGCACCAGAGTTAAGTTAGGGTTTTTCAAAATGCTGACACGCCGAGCTCAAAAGGTTCGCCATCACTGCCCTAGGGGAAAGGTAAGAAGGTCATAGGGCATCTGTGAGGAAAGGCAGCTGAGAAGCTAGTCTTGAGAAGACACCCCGCTCCTGAGGGCCACTGGCGCTGCAGGGGCCAGGGACACTCACCCGGCAGACGCCATCCACACAGACGTCCGGTTTGCCAGGCTCGCAGGGCGTCCCGTCCACCACGGCCTCCCTGTGCCTGTAGTAGAAGCTCTCCCCCTTGGGGATGCAGGCCAGCTCACACTTGTTCGGGGCTGGGAAAGGCACAGGGGAAGGCAGAGGTCCCAGTGAGGATCAGGCCTATCCTAGCCACAGCGGAGCATGGGCAGCGGCAGAAACACACAAACTGGGGGCTGGGGGAGCCTTGGAGCAGCCCCCACTAAAGGGCTCAGAGTCCCACTCCCCTCCCAGGGAGAGGGGATGTGCTCCACAAAACTGCTGCATCTCTGGGGCTCACGTCTAAGGGAAATCCCAGAATGAGGAAAACACTAGACACTCGAAGGGGTCTGTCTCAGCATGATCTACAATAACCGAGTGTGAGCAATCAGGGACTCTCTAAAGAATGACCTACCTGTAGAATGTACGCACATTAACAATTTTGTCCAAAATTATAAAAACTTGCCTGGCCGGCATGGCTTAGTGGTTGAGCATCAACCTATGAACCAGGAGATCATGGTTTGATTCCGGGTCAGGGCACATGCCCAGGTTGCAGGCTCAATCCCCAGTAGGGGGCAAGCAGGAGGCAGCCGATCAATGTTTCTCTCTCAGCACTGATGTTTCTCCATCTCTCTCTCTCTCTCCCTTCCTCTATGAAATCAATAAAAACACATTTTTTTAAATGTATGAAGACTTGCCCTGGCTGGGTGGCTCAGTTGGGACATTGTCCTGTACCCCAGTGGGTTCAATTCCCAGTCAGGGCACATACCTAGGGTGCAGGTTTGATCCCCCGTCAGGGTGCGGACAGGAGGCAGCCAATCAATGTTTCTCTTAGACTGATGTTTCTCTCTCTTACGCTCTCTCTAAAAATCAATAAAAAACACCCTCAGGTGAGAATTTAAAAAAATGTATGATGACTATACAAGAACGTAGGAAAATGCTTGTCACAGAATGCAAAATGGTACAAATTACAAATTAATTTCTCGATGTCATAATTACAGATATGTAAACACATGGAGAAAATGAGGTGAAAGGGCCGGAATGAAATGTTAGCAGTGACCCTAGGAAGGTGCTGGGGTTAGGGTCATTTTCTTCCTGTTTGAATTTGTACATTGATCTAGTATTTCATACGCAGTTAAAAGCCCAGACTGCTAATAGGCTTGTAATAACCTCCATAGCAAAGCAGGCGCCCCTCGGTGGCCTTTTCTCAGTCTTCCTATAACACGGAGACACTGCAATCATTTTCAACAGACCCCTCAGAACTCAGGAGGAGCAGCGAACGCAATGGCCCCACTGGGGCACCCCCTCTAGCCAAGCCCTGTCCCCACCCCAATCGCACTCAGTGACTTGGAACCCAGAGCCCAGTTTCCAGGCAGGACTGGCAGCGAGCAGGGAACTAACAGGCAGAATTACCCCGCGGTATCTTCTGAGTCATCTGAAGTGTGGTAATTACTTCCAATGTTGTTGTTGTTTCTTCCTGAACTGTATTGCTCTAAAAATTCCCAACCTACATACTTTCCTCAAAGCTACCCAGCCAGCGGGGCCCAGGGCCAAAGCGGGCGCGGCGGGCGCGGGGCCCCCCGCCCCCCCGCCACTGGCCCTGCGCCCCTCCCACGCTCAGCGCTGCTCTGTGCACAGGGCTCAGATGGCAGAGCCACGGCCGCGCTTGGTGTGAAAATGCACTGGGGGGGCGGGGGGCGGTGCCGGGCTGCGCGGGGATTTCCAACGGGGCTGACAACGGGCTCCGCTGCGGTAAGAAGCCACGAGGAACATCGCCAACAGCTGGGAGGCGCAGGAGCGCGCCAGGCGGACCGCGGCCGTACTCTCCCCCGTAGTAGGGCAGCCACTGGAACCTGCGGCCCTGGAACTCGCGGCTGTCAAACTCCCCGCACTGCTCTGCCCGGAAGTCGCGGGCACCTGGGGGGCAGCTCTGCGGGGGCAATGGGGCCAGAGAGGGGGAAGTGGGGGACCCATTGGTCCAAATACAATGCATTTCCAATTAAAATACCAAAGTAATTTGTGTGTGGTGAAACTTGAACATTGTTATTAGAAGTCAAATGGAAAAGTAAAAGGTTTCATTCTGTCAATGGGGGGGTAAGGAAGGGACTTCCGCACCCGCGGTGCACGGACAGGAGGCACCCTGGGCCGGGATGTCTTGGGGGGAGGGGGTCTGGGAAGCTGGCCCCCCTCCCGCGTGGGCTTTACCTCGATGTGGCACAAGCGGTGTCTGCGAGTGGGGCCCACGCAGCTGGAGCCCCCATCTCTCCTGTGGGACAAGAGCACCAGTAACCCAGCACCCCAATCCTCCTGGGCTCTCCTGCAGCCCCAGCCTCTGTGGGACTCCTCTGCGGGCCAGAGAGGGCAAGTCCGTGAAGAGGGGGGGCGGGGGGCTGCCCACACACATAAACCCCTCAGGAGGTGCACTGAGCCCCTCCTCTGTATTTGGGAGGAGACTTAGAGCCCAGACATCCTGGAGTTTGACTAACGGGGGCCACTCTGCCTCTGGAGGTAAATTTCCAGAGAAGCCCCAAGTTCTGCTCTTGGAGGTGAAACGGGGTGTAAATGCCCCCACCTGGTTAGGTGATTCTGCCGCGAAAGGAGAACCAGGCACCTGGAATAGCATCTCACTTTGGTCTTCACACAGGTTCTCAGAGTGACTTAAACCCACTGACAGGCGAGGTGTCATCGCCCCTTCTTTTGTGCCCACCCTCTATGGCACAGGACACATAGTAGGTCTTAAGTCACGTGAAGGGAAAGATCTATACAAAGGCTGAAGGTAGAGACACTGCACGGGTTAGCATGGTTGAAGATGAATTTGACGGGAATTTACTGCACCTGCCGTGAGCCCTCACTGCATTGGGGGCAAGAGACTCAGGGGTGGATGAAGCAGCTTGGCTCCAGCCCCCCAAAATACAGCTGATAATGGAAGCCAAGTGGAAGTACCGGAAATGATGGGTTTCAAGTACTCCATCCATGCTGCACCCAGGACAAAGCTACGGCATGGGGGGTTCTGCCCAGGTGACCCAGGACCCCGATGATCCCTGCCCTGCTTTCACAGGCTGCCCTACCTCTGCGAGTAGCAGAAGCGCTCCCTGAAGCTGATGCCCCCTCCGCAGGTCCGGCTGCAGGGGCTCCAGTCACCCCAGGGGCCCCAGGTGTCACTCTGCCGCCTCACCTTGGGAGCCTGGAGGAGAAGACACGCTCAGGAACCCGAGTCAGCACTCAAGGTCCCCATCAGGGCACCCCGAGGCTCACACAGCCCTGCCCACAAACAGCACTCCCCACCCCCGCGGGCCTCAGGGGCGCTCTTCCTCCTGGAGCTGCTCTTGGGGACCCAGCAGCACCGCCTGGCGTCCGGCATAGTCCACCACCAGCCACCTTTCCCCAGGAGCCGGAGCAGGTCCTCCCTCTGTCCCAGCAGCCACCGCGGCTGCTCTGCTCCGTGCCAGGCACCGTGCTCCCT